CATTTGACGTTTTTTTGCAACATTTGTTTTGCATATTTGTTGTGCAGAAAATTATCAAAACATGCGCTGGAAAGATGTTGCCGGGGAGGCGCCTAAGTGTCACAAACAAAGCATAACAAAAACACGAAACATAAACCCGCCCCGATGGGTGAAAATGCAAAAAAAAAAATCAACGCACAACGATTTGTTCCCCGGGGCAACTGGCGGGGGCGAGGTGGAATAGCGCGACGCCCCTGGGGGGCCCGCAACGGAATGCGGCTGCCCCGTGGGGCCCGGCCCTCCCCCTGCCCCATGCGCCCTTGGGATGAGAGCCCAGCCGCCTCCCGGCGCTAGGCGGGCGAGGGGGCGGGGGCGCAGCGCCAGGCGAGGGGCGCGGCTGCGCGGCTCAGCGGACGACGTCTGCGCCGCGCCATCCCCCGCGGCAATGTACCCAAGACAATTTCGCCGACATGTGGCAGTGCCTCAAGGGCAATGGCCCTGCGTGAAAATGCCGCGGCCCCGGAGGGTGCCCCAGCCGTCGCCCCTGATGGAGGGCCCACCGAAGCCCCCTACGGCGGCGGCCGCGCGCGGTGCTCGCAGGCCCTACAAGCATCTGCCCAATCGAAAGCCGCAGTGGCAGAGACTGTGCGCCCTACTTGCACACCCCATCGCACGCTTCGCGGCCCCACAAGCGACTCCGTCGAGGCCGCGGTAGCAGCGGCCGCGCGCGGCACTTGCATTCCCCGGGCTCTATCAAAGGCCCTAGCAGCATCAGCCGCGCGCGGCGCTTGCGCACCCCTCGCGCGTTCGATGGCCCCGCCAAAGGTCCCAGCGTCAGCGGCCGCGCGCGCACTTGGGCACCGCTCGCGCGCGTCGTGGCCCCGTGGGGGCCTCCGCCGAAGGCCCCAGGGGCGGCGGCCGCGCGCGGCACCTGCAAAACCCTCGCGCAGTTCGCGGCTCGACGGGGGACCCTGCCGAAGGCCCTAGCGGCAGCGGCTGGGCGCGGCATAGTTGCGCAACTGTCACGCCTGTCGTGACCCCGCAGGAAGCTCACCTGAGAGCCCCGACACCGCTGGCACCGCTCGCGCGGCGGCTCATGTCGGCGCGCCCCTGTCACGCGCCCCCTGGCCCCCAAATAAATTCCACCAGCAACTGTGATCAGAACTGCAGATGGGCGGGCCCTTCGCCAATAATATGTTGGACGCGCGCGGGCAACGCCAGGCCCCGCGCCACGCCAATTCATGACGCGCCCCCTCGGCGAGAGATCCCAAAACCGAGCCATGGAAACCGATCCCGCGCGCCGCTGCAAAACGCATGTTCGCCCTGAGCTGCCACGACAACCGGCTTTACCAGCAAAGCACTCGCTGCGCGCCGCAAGCACCGCTTGCGCCTGAGCGCTTACACTTTATAGCAGAATACCATGCCACTTACACATGTCGAATACATGCTTGTGTTCACCTATGTCCATATTTCCGTCACCTCTTTTTTACGGCCACTTTGAAATTATTCAACAGACCAACACCTCTCCATAGTACCTTCGTTCTAACACATTCTGAAAACGACCCGCCCGCAATCCGTGAAACTCTTGCAAATGTTTAAAACGAAAGTGCGCGGCGTGAAGGCGAGAACCACATGTTGAAAACGACCCGCCCCCAATCCGTGAGGCAGTTGCAAATGTTTCAGAACGAATGTGCGCGGCGCTGGGGCGAGAGCCACATTTGGAAAACGACCCGCCTCCTCAATCCGTGAAGCTCTTGCAAATTCTTAACACGAGTGCGCGCGGCGCTAAGGCGAAGAACCACATTTTGAAAACGGCCCACCCTCAATCCGTGAAGCTCTTGCAACTGTTTAAAGCGAGTGCGCGCGGCGCCAAGGCGAGAACCATATTTTGAAAACGACCCATTCAATCCGTGAAGCTCTCGCAAATCTGTGTAAGCGAATGTGCGCGGCGCTGTGGCCAGAGCCACATTTGAAGCTTCAGATTCATACATGGTGAGAGAAAGTCTCTGGCGAAACGCCCAGCCCGCCCGAAAAACTGGCCTCTGAGTGCGACTGGGAGAATTTATCTACAAGGAGAAGGAATGGAAGGGGAGGAGGAGGGGGATTATGGTGATGATGAGGAGGAGGAGGAAGAGAAAGAGGAGGAGAAGGAGGAAGAGGAGGGGGAGGAGGAGGGGGAGGAGGAGGAGGAGGAGGAGGAGAAAGAGGAGGACGAGTACGGGTCGACGAATGGCCCTTCGGAGAAACCCTCCACTTTGAGCCGGGGACGCCTTCGGCGACACCCCCTGCAGAGGGGGGGGGAACGTCGGCCCCCCTGGCTCGGGCTTGGGCCTGCTATGCTCGGACTCCCGCCGGAGTTCGTCCTCAGACTCGGGCGCCAGCTTGCTCAGGCTCGGGCTCGGGCTCGCACTCGGACTCGGGCTGGGGCTGGGGCTTGGGCTTGGGCTTGGGCTGGGGCTTGAGCTCGGGTTCGGGCTCGGGCTCGGGCTGGGGCCCGGGCTGGGGCTCGGAACTCGTTGGGGTCGGGCACGAGGGCCCCGACGGTCGATTTGCCGGGTGCGATGGCCTGCTGGCTGCTGGACGTGGTTCGCCGCGCAGGAGAGGCTGAACTCCTGGCCTCTGCCCGCGCTGCCGATGCCTAAGAAGGGCACCAGCTATACACCTACACCAATCCTGGCCAAGCGCATCCTGGGACACACCGATCGTGGTCTCAGGGTCGGCCTGGCTAGGACTTGCATAGGTCTACAGTTGGCACCCTTCGAGAAGCCGTGGCAGGGGCAGCAGAGGTCGCCACCACGGCGGGCGCGGCCGCCGAGGTCGTCACAGCCGCGGCGGGCGCGGCCGCCGAGGTCGTCACAGCCGCGGCGGGCGCGGCGGTCGTCGTCGCCGCGGCCGGCGCGGCCGAGGTCGCCGCAACAGCGGGCGCGGCCGAGGCCACCAGCGCGGCGGGCGCGGCGGCGGCCGGCGCGGCCGCCCGCGCGGCAGGGGTGGTTGCCGCGGCCGGCGCGGCCGAGGCCGCGGCGGGCTCCGCCGAGGCCGAGGGCGAGACCTGCGGGGCCGGCGGCCGGAGATGTTGGGCGGTCAGGTCTGGGCGGCCGATCCCGGGGGCCTGTGCGGCACTCAGATCCCCAGATCCCCCCAGACATGCGACGTTCTGATGTTTTTCCCCTATACGGGGCCCCTGGAAGTCCCGATCCTTTCCCCGAGACGGGTTTTCGTCTAAGCCGTTCTTTAAAGTTATTTGTATCTTACGGTCCCGAAGCCGAGCGAGGGCCCCCCGAGGCGGAGATTGACCAGAAACATGCTTTTGTTTATGTGTGTTGTTGCGTGTTTCACTATCTATATGTTTATGTATATATGTATATATATATATGTATTATATAGATATACATAAGTATGTGTATATCGATATATAAATACACACATATGTATATAACGACTCGATCATGTCTAAGCCCAGGAATCCGACCGTTTCCCTTGTTTTTCCATCGGGGCGTTTTTCCTGTGCTTCCGCAGGACTGCCAGCGTGGGCCCCAATCGGTGTGTCATTGCACGGTGGGGTGGAGGCTATGCGGTGCAGGCCATGTGGTGCAAGCGGTGTCAAGCTATGTTTCGAACTACGGAGGTGGAAGCTGTGCGGTGTAAGCTATGTGGTGTAGGCTATGCGATGTAAGCTATGCGATGTGAACTGGAGGCGGACGTGCTGGGGTGTAAACTATGATGTGAGCCATATTGTGAAAGCTATGCGGTGTAAGCCATGTGGAGTAACTAATTTCTGTTCGCAATGAGTTGTCCACTCCACTGCTCGCGCAAACATCCCACCCACCCACCCGCACCTTGGTTTGCAAAATCTCTTAAGACCGTGACGGTGGGTACCACATGGCACTTGGCAACAACAGCGACGCCGACGACGACAACGACACCGACGACGTCTCTCACGACTTCGACGGCGCCGACAACGACGACGACGACGACACCGACGACGACGACGACGACGACGCCGACGCCGACGACGACGACGACAATGACAACGACGACGATGACGCCGACGACGACGATGACGACGACACCGACGACGCCGACGTTGCCGACGACGCCGACGACGTCGACGACGACGACGACGACGACGGCGGCGACGACGACGTCGACGACGACGAAGACGACAACGACGCCGACGCCGACGACGACGACGAAGACGACGACGACGTCGCCAACGAAGACGACGAGAGAGGAGGAAGGACGACGATGGCGACAACGACGACAATGACGACAACGACGAGGGAGGAAGGAGGACGGCGACGACGCGAACGACGAAGAAGGAGGAAGGACGGCGACACCGACGACGGCAACGACGAGGGAGGAGGGAAGACGACGACGACGACGACGACGACGACGGCGACGAAATAGGAGGGACGACGACGAGACGCCGACGACGGACGACGACGACGACGAGGGAGGAGGAGGAAGGACGACCACGGCGACAATGACGACGGAAACGACCACGACGCCAAACAGGACGACGACGACGAACACGAGGAAAGACAGAGGACGACGTAGGCGACGACGACGACGACGCGGGAGGAGGGAGGACGGCGACGACGGCGACGACGCAAGAGCGCGCGCGCACGCTTTTGTTGAAAATCCGTGTTGCGAAACCTTTTTGTTCTTGTAGGCTTTTTGGACACACGATTTTGAAATCCTTCCGAAACCGATGGGTTTTGAAGGATTTTGGCATACGCACTTCGTCTCGTTTTTTGCAGAGGATTCTCGCGACGGCACACGCGAAAGGGCGTTCAACAGATTTCGACATGCCGCGCGCGAAGCCCGTTTGGGAGCATTTTGTGAAAATCTTGAAAAAAAACCCTATGGTTTTCTTAAGATTTCGCAAGAGCTTGCGCGGAAGCTGTTTTAGCAAATCAGTGTTGCGAAACCATGTGTTTTTGTATGTTGTTTGGAAACTCGATTGCGAAATCCTTCCGGCACCGAAGGTTTTTGAAGGATTTCGGCATGCGCGCGCGACGGCGCGCGCTTGCGCACTTCGTCCCATTTTTTGCCAGGGATTCGCGAACAAGTGCTATGTTAGAACAAGAAATGTCACCGCATAGCGTTTTCTTTTTAAATAAGGGACCCTCAGGGGGGGATACCGGTTGGAATTTGACATTGCGATTTCAAGTTTAGGATGGACATGTGGTCATAATCATATATATATATATATATACATATATATATATATAAGATTTACATACCCGAAAAAAGGGGTGTCGATAACGCCGGGGGGGGGGGTAGATGCTATTTTGTTTTTAGAAAAGAGAATCTATGCGGCGGTGTAATCTGTGTGGTGGAAGCGATGTCGTGTAAGCTCACGAAGCGCCAACGAGGCGGCACGGGCGGCAACGTGGCACAACCTCGACATACCTCGCAAGCGCGTGGCGCCCACGAGGCGGTACAGGAGGCGCGAAATCACGACATACCCCCCCCGAGCCCCGAGCGTGGGACGCCCACGAGGCGCCCACGAGGCGGCAAGGGCCCGCCACGTGGCGAAGTCAGGATGCGGAACCCACTGTTAAAGGAAGACAAGTCAAGCCTCCTCCTCCTCCTCTTCCTCCTCTTCCTCCTCCTCCTCCTCCTTCTCCGCATCCTCCAGCTCCTCCTCCTCCTCCTCCTCCTCTTCCTCCTTCTCCTCCTCCTCCTCCTCCTCCTCCCTGGGGCCCTTTCTCCAACCCTGGGACCGTCAAACATTAATCCCGGGAGAGAAATGCTCCCGGGGACGGGGTCGGGACCTCCGTGGCCGCGCATTAAACAACAAATTGCATCGTCGGATGTCTGGGCTCCCCTCCCTCGCGCCGATCCGCCTGCTGGAAACAACTGTCCATGGTCAAACAGGCATGGGCGGATGTCTGGGCTGCAGTCCGAAGCCATGTCCACCAGATGGCACGGCCCCCCCTGGCCACAGCTCTCTTGGGCACTGCCCCCCGTTGACTTACAAGGTGGCCAGGTCAAGCCGCAACGGACCGCCCAACCGAACTCCGACCGGATGCGCACACGGCCTGCACAAGGTTTGGCTATTGACTTACGGGGGGCCTAGACAGCGGCGGTACAAAGGCTCTCCAAACCCTTAAACATGTTGGCCAGCGTGGATCGCAAACAATGGTTTCTTGCGGTCTCGGAATGCATTCGATGTGGCGCAATCGGTTGGATGCAACATGTGTGCTGCCATCTACGTGGTGCAGTACACGTGGTGCAAAACACATGCTGTAAGCAATGTGGTGAACAACTGTATGGTTTGAGGGTAAAAGCCGCCGCCCAACGACCTGCCTGACGTCCGCGGGCGCCAGGTGGCCAAGGACAGTCAGACACCGGTCAGCAGGGTGGGATGCACCGGGAGCGAACCCGAGATCCTTGCGTCGCAATTTGCTCGAGACGGGCGTCTTCCCATCATGTCGGGCCCAAAGACCATCACGGTGCGATCCAGATCGAAAACTCGGGCCGAAAGATGGGATCCAGGGCTCCGGTCGTGATTTTTAGCGCTGTTGTTTTTTGTCGAGACGTCGGATCTCAGGGAATTGAAACGCAAAGGCAGAAGGGACCCAGACCCCCGACGTTGCGTCTTTTTCGCAACGTCGCCCCCCAGAGGTCTGGACTCCCTCCTGGGGACCGGATTGTCGCCCTGAGTCGTTTATCTTGTCAGCCCCAGGGCCGAGCGAAGGCAGGCATCTGGCGGCCGCAACTGCCGGAAAACTGACCGGCGCCATTGTTGCGCAACGCGAGGAGGCCAAGGGGAAGCCGAGGGAACAGGCCGCGAGGCAGGGACAGGCAGGAGCCCGCCGCCTCGCAGGCACCTCGCAGGCCGCTCCCCGGGAGCCCGTGCGCCGCAAGAGCCCCTCCCGAGACCGAGGGCCGAGGCCCCTGGCCGCGCCAGGACGTCGTCGGAGGAAGCCCCCCCCCCCCCCCCCCCGAGGAACTCAGCTGCCCAAGACACCCTCGCGTGGTGAAAAAAATATCACGGCGGGAGGGTTTTCACTTTTTTCGGCTTCCGGGGGGGCCCTGACGGGGCCTCGGGGCCGCACAGAAGACACGACCCAGGATGAAGAACCGGTCCCAGGGAAGGGGTCCAGACATCTGGGGGTCGACGTCATGCAAAAACCAAAAAGCGTCGGGGGCCTGGGTCCGGAGAATCGCCGAAGGGGCCGCGAAGGGGCGCGAAGCATTGAGCCGGCAACGTCGACGCATCGCCGACGGATCGGCGGCAGGCCCTCGATGGCGAAGCCGTGCGCTGGGAGGGGCGAGGCTTAAGTCGGGCTTGTCCCTCTACAGGAGGGATGTTCAAAAATAGTCGAAAAGCAATATGGGGATCATTTTTTTTTGGCAATTTTGGGATTTTGGGGGGGCATTTTGGCCATTTTTGGGATCAGTTTTTTTTGGGGGGCATTTTGGGAACATATTTTTTTCGTCGAAAATCCCCCTGTAGGGGGACACGCCCGACTTGAGGCGAGGCGAGCGGCGCGGCTCGAGCGGCCCGCTCCGGCGGCCGGAGGAGGGATCGGAAGCCGGGGCGCGGGCCGCGACGGGCGGCAGCACCAACGCCTCCGCGGCGGGGGGGGGCGCGCAGGGGGAGGCGAGGGGACGCGGACGGAGGGAGGGAGGGAGGGGCAGGCGGGGAGGAGGGGGAGGAGGGGGAGGGAGGGGGAGGAGGAGGGGGAGGAGGGGGAGGAGGGGGAGGAGGAGGGGGAGGAGGGGAGGAGGGGGAGGAGGGGGAGGAGGGGGAGGAGGAGGGGGAGGAGGAGGAGGAGGAGGAGGAGGAGGAGGAGAGGAAGGAGGGGAGGAGGAGCGGAGGAGGTAGGAGTAGGAGTAGGAGTAGGAGTAGGAGTAGGAGTAGGAGTAGGAGTAGGAGTAGGAGTAGGAGTAGGAGTAGGAGTAGGAGTAGGAGTAGGAGTAGGAGGAGGAGGAGGAGGAGGAGGAGGAGGAGGAGACTGAGGAGGAGGAGGAGATGGATGAGGACGAGGAGACTAAGGAGGAGGGGGAGGAGGAGAAGGAGGAGGAGGATGAGGAGGAGGAAGAGGACGATGGGGACGAAGAAGTAGGAGAGGGAGGAGGCCTGAGACACAGGGGGGCCGTGGAGGACAGGGAACCCAGGGGGAGGCGATTGCACCAAGGCGGGGGGCAGAAGGAAAGAACGAGGCAGCGAGCGGCGGAAGGAGACACGTGTGCCAGGTGGTGGCGGCGCGAGGAGACCGGGCCAGCCGAAGCGTCCCTCGCCTGCTTGCTCCACCCCCCGCCGCTCTCTTGCCCGCCAGTCCCGAGCCCGAGCCCGAGCCAAGGGAGAGGCTGGGCGGAGCGAGGCACGGCGACGCGAGGGCGCGGGGGGAGGGAAGGGGCGAGGCATGGCGGAAGGAGGGGGAGGCGGGGCGGGGGGGAGCGGGGCGAGGCGAAGAGAGACGGGGGAGCCAGGCGAGGCGAGGCGGCCCGAGGCGGGGCCGAGGCGAGCGAGGAGAGCCGAACGCGGGCCGGGCCCCAGGGGCGAGGGAGGGCGGGGAGGGCAGAGGCTCCCCCCCCCCAGGCAGGCAGGGACCGAGCAGGGCAGCACCCCGAGCAGAGCAGAGCAGAGCACAGCAGAGGCGGGGCGAGGCGAGATGAAGCGAAGACGGCCCTCCCGGCCGAGCCTCCGCGGCGTCCGCGGCCGGCGGAGGCGGCGGCGGCGTCGCAGAGCCACCTCGGTCGGCCGCCGAAGGCCAGCGGACGCAACGCGCGCGCGCTTCGTTCCGCCGGAGGCGCCGCCCGGCGAGGGGCCGCACGGAGCGGCGGCAGCGGGGGCGAAAGCGGCGCGAGGGGGAAGGCGGAGTCGGAGGCGAGGGCGGCGGCGAGGGTCGGAGGCGAGCGCGAAGGCGGGCGCGAGGAAAGCGGGCGAGGAAAGCGGGGCGAGGGCGGAGGCGAGGGCCGAGGCGAGGACGGAGGCGAGGGTGGAGGCGAGGGCCAAGGCGAGGGCGAGCGCGGAGGCGATTGCGGCGGCGCGGAGGCGGTGAGGGCGGCGAGGGCGAGGGGGGCGTGCAAGCAGGGCCGAGGGCCGCGCCGAGGCTGAAGAGGCTGCGGATCGAGTCCGTGAGCTGCCCGATCTGCGCGTCCTCTGGCGCCGCCGCACCAGGAGCGCCGAGGAGCTGGTCGTCATCCTGCCCAGACAGGCCACAAAGGCCGTCGCCGCCGTCGCCGTCGTCGCCGCCGCCGCCGCCGTCGACGTCGCTGTCGACGTCGTCGTCGTCACCTTTTCGGGGCCCGAGTTGGGCGGGGAGCCCAGGAGCGCAGGACCGAATCCAGGCAGGAATGTGCGACTGGCGCTGGTCATTACCAGGTCGAGGGGAGGGGAGCTGATAGGACCTAGGACCTTGGTGGTGGGGAGCCCAGATGATTCAGGGTGTTGTCACGGTGGGGGCCCAAGGACGTCCGAGTGATGACCCTGGAGGACGGGGAGGGCGAGGGAGGGGTAGCATCGAGAGAAGTCAAAAAAGGAAGAAGGGCTGCGACCGTCACGGGAGATGGAGCGGGACGGCAGAAGGGTGCAATGGGGGAGGGGGCTTCTCCTTCCTGCCTCAAGCCCTCCCCCCCTCACTCCTCGCCCCCCTTACCCCCCTCCTGTCGTGTGTCCCGTCCTCCTGCCTACTCCGAAACTGCCTCCTCCTTTCCTTCCCCCCTCCATCCTCCCACCACTCTCTGAGGACATGAAATCCCTGGGGGGACGTCCCCAGATGTCATCCTCCTCCTCATCTCCCTCCCCCTCCTCCTCCTCCTCCTCCTCCTCCTCCTCCTCCTCCTCGTCCTCCTCCTCCCCCTCCTCGCCCCCAATCCCTCTATCATGGCCTCTCGCCCCCCCCCGACACCGGAAGACAAAGAGGAACAATGACAAGTATCAAAGAAACGGGTCCTGATGGACACGGGTCCCTGGACTTACGGTATGCCCATCGTACTCAGACACCACATCCAATTAGTAGTCTGGAGGTTTCGACATAATGTCTGCCCGACGCTCTGGCGAAGTGCCGGACGAGCATCTCCTCCAAGAGGGCCCGACACGTGACAAAAAAGAACTGCCGTTTCGGTGCTCGGGGGTGTCTGGCTCCAGACCTCTGCGTAACGCGACTGTTTGCAAACAGGGCGTCCTATGGGAGAGAGACCCCGCCTGCTCGAAGCAGGCGCAGAGACAGCCAAGATCGACTCCAGGGGAGGGGGGAGGGGGGGGGGGGCGAGGGCCCGCGCCGATCGGCAGAACAAGGACCAAGAGAACGACCATCCCTCCCCCTCGGGACCACCTCGCCCTCCCGAGCCGCTCTGCCCCCTGCCCCCCGGGGCCCGCAGGGGGGGCCCCGCACGAGCGCGCCCGACCACGGCGGGACCGGCTCGGGGGAGAGAGGGGAGGAGGAGGAGGAGGAGGAGGAGGAGGAGGAGGAGGAGGAGGAGGAGGAGGAGGAGGAGGAGGAGGAGGAGGAGGAGGACGTGGCACGGGCGGGGCATCGCCGATTGGCAGGCGCTGGGCTCCGGATGGCAGGTCCGCACGTCCACGGGTGGGGGCTGTGAGGCCCTGTCGGCGGTGAGAAGGGCGACTGCGGGTCGATGCGCCTTCCCTTGAGCCTACCCTTGAGCCGGGCATGCCCCTAAGCCTACCTTAAGCCTACCCTTAAGCCGGGCATGCGTCTTCCCTTGAGCCTTCCCTTAACCCTTGAGCCTACCCTTAAGCCTTGAGTCTTCCCTTAAGCCTACCAGGAGGGATGGTCAAACCTCACGGCAAAAACAATATGGATGCGATGTCCAACAATGTTTGAATAGTTTTGCGCACTGTTTGGCTGTGTTTCCTTCTTGTTCGAAAGTCCGCCTGTAGGGGGACACTATCCCTCCAAAGATTGCCCTTGGATTTCGGGGTCGGCCACGAGGGGGGCGTCCAAGAGGGGGGGCGAAAATCATGGCCACCGGCATGTGCGCGGCCCAGGGGGGTGGCCAGGCACATAACGTAATAAGAAAAGGCGCCATGAAATCTGAGGAAATATCATGGCCCCCGCCATGATATCCCCCCCCCCCTAAACATCACCCCCCTCTTTGCCGGCCCCAGGGATTTCGGATCATAACTCGGCTCTCTGGCCGCCGTTCGGGACGATCCCGGCGCCCCTGGAGCGCTCTCGGCGCGGCGCAGCTGCTGGACAGACTCCCGAGGCTGAAGGCCGCCGAGAGCGAACGCACGATCACCTCAAGCCTCGAACGCGAAACACTCCTCACACGCGAAACCGCCCGAAAAGCCGAACACGAGAGAGAGAGAGAGAGCACGCGAAAAGCACAGACACGCCCGAAAGCCTCCGCAGCGCAGAGCACAGCAAAAGCCCCGAGCCCCATCCCCGTGGCCTTGCCCACGGCGAACAGAGCAAAAGGGGGCGGCGGCGTCCTGCCGCCGCCAGGGGCACGCGGAGGGCCCCACGGGAGGCCAGCAAAGCAGCGACAACACCAGGACCCGTGTCCACGGGGACCCCCCCTTGTTGCGTGTCGACGCACGCGGGAGCCCCAGACCTCCTCGCGTTGTGAAACAATCACGACGGGAGGCTTTTCGCTACTTTCGGCCTCCAGGGGGGGGGGGGGCCTGCCGGGCCTGGGGGTTGTCAAGAACGACTCAGGATGAAAAGCCGGTCCCCGAGAAGGGGCCCAGGCTCCTGGGGGTCACGTCATGAGAAAATCACGACATCGGGGGTCTGGGTTTCGTGTCGTCGACACACGCGGGCGCGGGCGAGAACGTAAGGACCACATCCCAGAAACGGTTTCGACCACCAAGGAACATGTCGAAACAATATCGAGCGAGTATCGCCTCCCAAGGCCCGACGCATGAACACCCTCCCGTTTCGGTTCATTTTTGGTGCTCGAAATTCTTTCTGGTGAACAGGGCTAAATCACCCTTGTTACGTGTCGACACGCGCGGGCGCGGGCGAGCTCGATCGTTCAACCTTGAACGATCGGCCATTCCCGAAACGTCTGATAGTTCAACATCGATCGATGCTGGGTCGCCGACGGCGCTCAACGTGTAACGGCGGCGGCGGGGTCGACGCCAGCCGACACGACACGAACCTGCCGTACCCAGAGATCCGATATCGTGTTTTTTCGGACCGCTTCCTCATCCTGACTCGTTGTTTGACAGTCCTCGGGCCCGGCGAGGGCCCCCAGTGGCCGAAGCCTGGTAAAAGCCTCTCCCTTGTTTTCTCCATACGTCGGATGGATACAACGCAGCGGCCAGATTGATGTCCGTGTCCCGTGCGCCTCGGCCTTTTGGCGAAGTGTCCGGGGAGGGAGACCAAGACTGAAACCCGCGGCGCGGGCGCACAGCGGCGTCCTGCCGCCGCCGCGCGGCGCTGGAGGCCGGCGCCCCCGGCGTGCCCGCGAGCAGGAGCAGCGCGCCCAGGCCGAGCCAGGGCGCCATGGGGCGCTGTGGCGGCTCGCGGCCAGGAGGCCTCTCACTACATTCGCTGCCTATCAGGCGCGGGGGCGTGCGCTGGCCCGGCCGGGGCGGGCTCGAGTTCCGGGGGGGAGAGGAGGGGGGATGACAGAAGAGAAACAAGTGGGAGGAGGATGAGGAGGAGGAGGAGGATCGAGGAGGAGGAGGAGGAGGAGGAGGAGGAGGAGGATCGATGAGGAGGAGGAGGAGGAGGAGGAGGAGGAGGAGGAGGAGGAGGATCGAGGAGGATCGATGAGGAGGAGGAGGAGGAGGAGTAGGAGGAGGAGGAGGAAGGAGGGGGACCTGCCCGCGTCCTGACAAAACGAAGGACGGGCGGTGACTGGCCGTTTCTGGCTGGCCTGGGCCCCTGTGGCCCTCGCCGTTCCCTGGGACCGTCGAGAGACGACTCAGGATGAACAGCGGGTCACCACGTGGAAAGGGTCGGGACTTCTAGGGTCCCTGTGCTGCGCAAAATTAAGGCGTCGCATGTCTGGAAACAGAAAGGCTCGAGGAGGGGTGGCAGAGAAGGGGACAGAGGGGGGAGGGGGGATGAGGAGAAGGAGGGTAAGATCAAGCTATGTGCGCTCGCGTCATATCTGACATCCTACCCCTCCCTCCCATCCCTTACCATGGCGCAGATCCCCTCTCTACTCGCTCAGTCGGATGTCGAGCAGGGCAATGATCCCGAAAGGGTACGCGATACATTGCTGAGCACGGCATGGCATGGCGTAGAAGAGCACCGCAAAGCGTAGTATCAACCTAGCATTGCATTGCATGCCGTGGCATGGCACGGGAAATGACGCCAGCGCTGCAGCGGGAGCACGAGTCGAAACGAGCGGAAGCGCGGAAATGAGGCCAGCGCTGCAGCGGGAGCACGATTCGGAACGAGCGGAAGCACGGAAATGAGGCCAGCGCTGCAGCGGGAGCACGATTCGGAACAAGCGGGGCCCGAAAATGAGGCCGGCGCCTCAGCGAGAGCAGCATTTTGAAAACAAACGCAAGCGACAATCCAACTCCGGGGAAACCTGTGTCAAAAACAATACGCGGGGGGGTCGGCCATTTTCAAACCTTCATCAGGGGAAGAGGGAGAGTAGTATTCATTTTGAGTAATTGTATAGGATCGGAGAGGGGTGGGCAAGGAGGACGCACGGCGGGGAGGATAGACGAGGACCTGAAGCAGCATGGCCCTGGGGCGTCATTATCCCGTTGGTGGGCAGAATTTCTTTGTGTCAGCACCCTTGAAGGCGGTTCTTTCTCAACACGTCTCGCTTAAGCGCGAGGCGCACTCGCCATACAAAAACCGAGCACTCATGCGACTCGACAGAGTCGTTTATGTGATTCTCGCATTAGCGCCGCGCACATTCGTCCTGAAAGCTCGCAGCGCTGACAGGGATGGAGGGCGGTTCCTTCTCAAGGTCGAATTGATAATCCCAAGCCTGCCGTACAACTTACGACGGGACGTCCCGATGCCGCGCAGCAGCTACACGGATTGAGGTCGGCTCGTTTTCCAATCAGGGCTCTCGCTTGATGTGGCCTCAGGACTGAAGACCAGTCGCTTATGCGTAGAGCAGCCTTGCGCTGATTGAAGGCGGCTCGCTTGTCAAACCGCGACGCTCGGTGGACACATCCTGGGGCTTTGCGGTCCTGCTCCGTCGCAGTCCTTCGGCTAGAGGCATGGGCGGCAGCTCCGATTCAAAACGACAGGGAAGGAGGAGCAGGAGGAGGAGGAGGAGGAGGAGGAGGAGAAGGAGGAGCAGGAGGAAGAGGAGGAGGAGGAGGAGTACCACGGGGCGCTCTTCTTCAAGGGAGCCGTTCCTTCAATATTACGTCCAATATGTCTGATTGTTGTTCGATATCGGCGTTGGCCGCGTCATAGGCGGGGCCCGCGCCAGAGGCGCACAGCGATGGGATGAATCGCTGGCGCCAGACACGACGATGCCAACGCGGCGGCCTTGTCCACCGCCGCGCCCATGCGTTGAACATGCCCGCCCATTGTCCGCCTCGCACGCGGCGCCAGGCCCTGTAAAACGCAACGCGAAGTCGCGGAGAAGTCTGGACTACGCGCCATGAGTATGGTGCGTTCCACGCACCCTTCTCCCCAGTCTTCGCGGGAGCGCGTGTCGTCAATGATCGCGCTGTCACAGCTGCTGCAATCGATCACGAAAGTGAAGCGCGTGTCTCCTCACTCCTGAAACGTGATCCCAAGGCTCATGCTGGGACCGAGCACGGCGCGCAAATCCGCGAGCGCCCCCTCAATGTGGATCCGCGCGCAGATGGCCGACGCGCAGTCCGACGTGTTCGGCGCCCAATCCGAGTCGCGCGTGGGCTTCGGCGTGGCGACAACAACGCCGAAATGCTCAACGACGCCAAAGCGCGCCACGCGTCATACGCTTTCCGCTTCGCAGGCCCGCCCAGGGCGGCACCGTGACCGGGGACCTCAACGCAACCTCGTCCCGCGACCACGCGACCGCATCACCGCCTCCGGGCAGCACTTCTGCGCCGCCAGTGGCGGCGGGCGCGCTGGCGAGCTCGTCGAAGCTCCTCATGGTCAGCGCCGTCTCGCGGGACGCCATACGGCTTCCCCGACTTCAATCGCCATCGCCTGGCGGGGCGACGCGCGAGCTTATGGGTCCACGGTCGACGCCGAGGCGATCTCGTCGAGGCTCCTCATGATCAGCGCCGTCTCGCGGGACGCCATACGGCTTCCCCGGCTTCAATCGCCATCGCCTGGCGCGGCGACGCGCGAGCTCATGGGTCGACGTTCGACGCCGAACTCGCGGCACCTGCGCTGCGCACCCAGAAGGCGCCCGCACCCGCGGGCTCGACCGCCGCCGCCTCGCCGGTGAGGACATGGAGCGCGAGGGACATCTAAGAGAGCGCTGTGGCGCTGTCCAATCGAACCTGGCGGCGCGAGGCGTCGGACCAAATGGCCAGAGGAGGCAGACGGCCAGAAGGCCTCGGACCAGGATGACCAGTGAGCCTGCTCGTCGGCAACGACCACGCAGCTCGGTTGCCAAGTCGTGCCCGGCAGGCGCGACCACGCGCCCTGTCGCGGACGCGGGGTGCACGACATAGGCGATCTGGTCGTGACGGTGGAGCGCCTGCAGGGCACGCGCGATGAGGACATCGTCCATCAAGTCTTCCGATGCCACCCAATCGCGACAAGGGCGAATCGACTCGTCTGCTGGCATTGAGCCCGCGACCACCACAGGAAAGGAGATCGCGACGAAACGGACCGGCCTCGCCGTCTCTTCCCGTGCTATCCGATCGCGACAAGGGCGAATCGACTCGCCTGTTGGCATCGAGCCCGCGGCCAACACGGGAAGAGAGGTCGCGACTGAAGAGCCCGCCTCGCCGTCAAAGGTCACGCAAGAATCGTTCTCGGAGCTGCGCGCGAGCTCAGGCTGCGCGACGCGCCGCCCCGCTTCCACGAGCTGCGTCTGCTCGGGCGCGCCATCGGTCGCAACCTCGGTGGCCCAGGCCAGTTCGGAACGCAGCTGGAACACGATCGCCTCCTCGGCAGTGGGGCCCTCGCATCCTCCCCCAGCTGCCGCTTCCAGCTGCTGCGCGCGCAGAACATATTCCCTCCTGAATGCTGCGGCGCGCGGCTCTTGCGCACGCCGATCTCTCAGCGTCAGTTCGACCTAAATTGTGGCAGGTCGCGGCCGAGCTCCCTGCGCATCGCAGCGAGAGCAGCGCTCGATCCGCGAGGGCGCGTGGCAAAGGGTCCACCGAAACCCAAGGCCTTTGCCCGCGATGGCGCGGAGAGCGCGCCTGGGCGGTTTCCCCCGGGACCGTAGGCGACACGAGGAGGGGAGGGCGAGGAGGGAGGAGGAGGAGGAAGGAGGGGGAGGAGGAGGAGAGGAGGAGGAGGAGGAGGAGCACGGGAAGGACGAGATGGAGGAGGAGGAGATGGGAGGAGAAGAAGAAGATGGAAGAGGAGGAGGGGGAGGAGGAGGAGGGGGAGGAGGAGGAGGAGGAGGAGGAGGAGGAGGAGGAGGAGGAGGAGGGAGGAGGAGACAGGTCGCCTAAGCCCTTCGGTGAATCCCCCCAGGCGCGCCCCTGGCGCCCGCCTGCACGCACGTGCGCCGACCACCCCAGCAGGATGGTAAGACATCCGCCGGCGCGGGCGAGGGGCCCATCGCGTCGAGGGCATCGGCGCATGCAGGCTTCGCGCAGATGTTGGCGATGTCGGCGTGGATGCCAAAATCGACGAGAAAGGAGGAGGAGGAGGCGGAGGAGGAGGAGGAGGAGGAGGAGGAGGAGGAGGAGGAGGAGGAGGAGGAGGGGGAGGAAGGGGGGGGGGGGAAGGGGCCCTCTATGGTTCCAGAGAGGACCCGATGAACCTCCAATGAGGCCTTAAGAACATCTAATACGGTCCCGTCATGAGGTTCCACCGCCCTATGATGTACTTCACTGATCTGGATGATGAGTTCCGGTGGACATCCCTCCAGCCTGTAGGGCGTGAGTAGTCTAAGGAGTCTAGGGGGCTCGCTCTGCTAACCCCGTTCTCCCCCTTCGGGGAGACGGTCCTCCTAAGCCCTCCCCCCTGGGTCTGGACCCCCCCCCCCGTGAGGTGTCAGAGGATACTTGTTGGCTCCAGTGGCCCCGAGAGGGCTCCAAACAGCGCACGATGGCATCCGATATCCCAAGCCAAGAAGGTTCAAGCTAGCCTCCGACATGCCTCCAACAATTTTCAAATTCGCCCCAGCACGGCCCAAACAAAACCGCTATGTGTATCACTGTTGTTGGCCTTTTCGTCTTTTCTCTTCCCACGGGCTTCTGAGGCCTCAACGTGCTTCCAAGATGGCCCGAGATGGTCCCAAGAGGGGCCCAAGACGGCCACTGAAGCGCCCAAGACCGCCCCAAGGCGGCCCCAAGAGGCCGCCAAGTGTCGGGCCCAGACGGGGGGACCCTACTCTACGCCGCTCGTTTCGTCCCTCGACGGCCTCCAAAGATGGCCCCAAGAAAACCCTCAAGGCCTCCAAGAGGGCCACAAGACAGAGCGCCGAATAAGACCTCCAGAAAGCACAAAGAGGGCCCAAGAGACCTCCAAGATAGCTCCAAAAA